AGAGAGAGAGAGAGAGAGAGAGAGAGAGAGAGAGAGAGAGAGAGAGAGAGAGAGAGAGAGAGAGAGAGAGAGAGAGAGAGAGAGAGAGAGAGAGAGAGAGAGAGAGAGAGAGAGAGAAAGAATTGCGCGCGCGATGTAGTGATCGCGTGCAAAGAAGCGGCATCGTCGCACGCGGCTACTTGGCTCTCCAGAGCCAGGATATTTCAATACCAACAGTGGTCGACCACCAACGTGGGGCCGTGCATGGGGAGAGGGAATGTGACGACGACGACGACGACAACGACGATGTAGCGCGGCGCGGCGCGACGCAATGCGATCCATGTGTGCGTGTACATACATATGCGCGCCTCCGCGCATCATATATATGCGCACGACTATATATATCTCCTCCGTCGCCCGTCCACGTCCCTTGTCTATGTGCCCGCCCTTCGTGGTTGGTACACACGCTTCGCGCTCGTGCGGCTTTACACGGTTGTTCGGCACAAGGAGAAGAAAGTGAGAGAAAGAAAGAAAGAAGAAATCCCTCGATGGGTAGCCGTGCTCCACTATTCGGGGTTTTTTTTGCAGGAGGAGGATGCGAGAAGGGTAAAGAGGAAAAGAGGGGAGACGTTTTTGTCTCTGTCTCTCTTCTTAGCGTAAAGAGGAATAAATTCTTACTGAGAGAGATACCAGATTTTACACAACGTGATGGCCTGGGGAAGGGGTAGATAGAGAGGGGGAAGGGAGAACCCGAATGCGACCGATGGGTTCGTCGAGAATGCCCGCCTTTCCGACACGTCAAGGGGAATCGGAGTGGGCCGTACCATGCGCTGATTGGGCGTGCGGGATGAGTGGGGCTCGGGACGTCGTGGCGCCTTGCGCGTTCCGCCAATCGAGTACTCTCGCCGAGAGTTTTTTTATCTCGTTATTTACGCCGAGGACGGAGAAGACGGTTCCCTATATTCCCCTCCGCCCCGCCTAATCGCGGATCGTGATATCTCGCTCGCACTCGGACGACGGGTATTCTCCGTTCCGTTTTCGCGCGTTCTCCCTGTGCACCCGTCAGCGCAGGAGAGAACACTCTCGTTTTGGGATCCGTTGAAGTAGTACGCGTCTCTCTCTCTCTTCACGAAGCAGTAACAAGATAGAAGTGTTGAATCGAGTGTTCGATGTGTTACACGCGTGTATCACTCTCGAGAAGCTTGTCAACAACGCTGCTCGCTTTCGCTCATTTTCGAATGTTAATTTTGAATCACTCGCAGGGATACGCAACTCCTTATACAAACCGCTGAACACGATGTGCGCGTGTTGAATATAGGGAGTGTGAGTGGCGCGTGTGTATATGTACGTGTGTGCGCGTGTATGTGTGACAGACGTCGCAGAAGGATGCGGCGTTGCCGGATGTTGTAGGCGCGAATACGCGTACAGTGTACGTTCGGTGCGACGAGACTGCGCGCCGAAGAGAGGAATAGAAACGCGCGCGCGCGCGCGCGCGTTCAACGGAAAGGGAAAGAGTGTGTGGTGGTGGTAGTGGTGGTGATAGTGGTGATGGTGGTGATGGTGGTGATGGTGGTGGTAGCGGCGGCGGCGTCGTCGTTGTTGTCGATCGATCGATTTTAACTCGTTGCCGGAGGAGGAAAATCGTGAACTCTGTTGGCCGTGCTACCGTCATAGACAAATTCGCGCGAACATCGTTGCAGCGATACACCACAGTGACATTTACGGTGCGGTGCTATTGATGAAACTTGGCAACGTCGCACCGACTGCCCTCGCATCAACGCGCGCGTACACGTACCTAGAAGGGAACTTGGGGTGGCTGGCTAGTTCGCTAGCTGGCTGACTGACTGCTTGGCTGGCAAGTAAGCGAGCGAGCAAGCAAACTAGCTATCGAATAAGCAGAGCAAGCAAGCAGGCAAGCCAGGCAGACCGCTTGTTCCGAGGACGGTGCTGTTGGTCACACCGTCTCTCTTTTCTACCTCCATTGCGCTTATTCTTTCTCTCCCGGCTCCTTGCTTCCTCTCCCTCCCTATCCTCGGTCAACTCAATCGCTCTCGTTCTTTCCTTTCTCCCTCCCCTTCTTCGGCTTCTCTCTCATGCTCATGCCGCGCACGTACCGTTGAGAGCCTCTCCCTTCTCCGGCCGCGCTCTTTCTCTGCCTCTCCATCCCCTCTCCTCTCCTTACCTCGAACGGATCGGGCGAGTCCACTAGGCTTGCGAGGGGTGTTGGGCAGACTTGGTCTCTAGTCGGCCTCGATCCGTAGAGTGCGATAGACGCCGTGAGTCGATCGCTCCAGTATACGGATATTCGCGAACCGTAGCATACGTGCGTACGTCGTGGGTCTCGCGAAAGCCATTGCGCTTTACCTGCGCATAGCCGCGGCCCGCGGCAGTCCGTATTACGGCCAGTTTACACGTTCAGCCTGGGACGCACTCGACCAGCGTATATCCATACGACGGCCATGTTTGGTGTTTACGACGCGAGGGGGAGTCACTGACGTCACGCACGAGTGAGCAACCGATCTCGCCCGAACAGCACAACGATTACGAGCGACGGACGACGGGCGGCAGCAGCGACAAGCAAACTGAAACGAAACGTGACGACGAGGACGACGAGGACGACGAGGACGACGAGGACGACGGCGACAACAACACAACACAACGATAACGACACGACGAAAAGTACGAGGAGAAGGAAAACGTGTGTCGTGCCACGCCGGTAGTTCACACCAGTATCCGTGCGCCCGCGCATTTCGAGTGCAAGCGGGACCATCGTCGTCTTCCAATACGAAAATCGACAAAGGAAAACGCGATAGAGAGAGAGAGAGAGAGAGAGAGAGAGAGAGAGAGAGATCGCGTGTCT